TCAACCCTCCTCTCCTCTTCTTTTCCTTTCCCCTCCATCCGCTTCTTTTTCTGCTGTAATTTTCACCGGTATTGAGTTGCCCTCCATTCTGATGGCCTGTTTTTATTGTGTCATTGCAGCTCACCTATTTGCGGAGTTCAATGACATTGGTTCAGACTTCTTTTCGAGCAGTAAAGGTCCCTTATGCTTCTACGAGATACTAGCCGAACATTTTGTGTGCTGCCCAGAAGACGCCGAAGATGTCCTCCCTCTCTTCCTTCAACTCTGGAGTCAGTACTTCACTTGTATGATCTTTGCTCTTCTCATGCATCAGTGGGTATGATTGAAATCCTCATCGTTCCTTTGCATTACCATCACTAAAAGAACTGAGTCTCAGCGCATTGGCACATGGGAGGGATTCCACCTACCTTCTTCCCCGGAACGGATCATAACATTCGTTCGATATTTTTTTCTGAATCTGGACTGGAAGTTACCACAAATACAGCTGTAATGACCCATATATGATGTGCATTCTCTCCAGGGGAAGACGGTAGGCACAGGCAGGCACAATCGGTCTCAATGTTTTCTGTTTCAAATTTTGTTCCTCGAGCATGTACATTTTTCTGAGGTTGGAAAAAAAAAAAAAAAAAAAAAAAACATTCTGCCTTTCTTTTGTCTCCCCTTTTCGACCTCTCCCAAGTCAAAAGAAAGGCAATTGCTTTTTTTTTTTTTTTTTTTTTGGTTCTCTCTCTCTTTTCCGAACAATGCAGGTCCTTGTGGAAAAATATAAAATGAAAAATGTAGGTCCTTATAATGGGCCTGACTCAGTATCCATTCTGGGGAGCAGCAGTCCACTCTGAGGAGTCTTTCTGTGAAGTTCGAACCTGAATCTAACCTGAATTTGACTGCCACGGACATGCTCGAAAGTCGCTGGGTGAGTGTGAATTGAGTGTATTTATGATCCTTGATGAAGTCTCGTTAATTAGACTTCCCTAGTACCGTTTAAGAGTGTGAAAGAACAAAAAAAATGAAAAAGAAAAACAACCTTCATTGTTCCTCTGTGTGTACGTGTGTGGTGGCCAAATGAAGGCCGAGTAGCGGTTTTTGGGGTGTTCTTGGTGAAGCCTTGTTAATTGGAGTTCCCTGCCGTCTTTGGCTAAATAGAACGCCCGCCGCCCGGTTATTCTCACAGTCTCTAGACTGAAACTTGCACCAAATATGTCTGTAGTGACCGGGTGTTCTATTCGGGTGAAGCTGGTGGTCCCCACTGCTTAAGAGTTTAAAAGATCCTAAGAACGAACCTTTCATTTCTTTGCTGTTTGCTTCTCAAACTTGGTTCCCCTGTGTACCTGTTTGGTGGCCAAATGATAAAATAAATTGTTTAAAAGGGGCTGGCCGTGCCTCCATGGACTTCAACAAAACACGTGTACTCTTGATGACGACTTCATGAGTTTTACGCCTGAAGTCTTGATCAAGAGGACGCATCTTTTTTCTCGAACTCTTGATCAAGACTTCAGGGGTTGAACAAAAACTTCAAGGCTCTTTTTAGCTAGGTAGCAAAACCGGATATGCGGCCAGATAATTCGTGCTACTCGGCTTTTCAGAGTCTAATGGATTAAATAAGGGGCTGGCAGTGCCTCCCTTTTTTTTTTTATGTGTATAAGAGACAGGAGAGAGAGAGAGAGAGAGAGAGAGAGAGAGAGAGAGAGAGGGTTATCGTTTTCCCCCTTGTCTTCCTTTCTTTGGCACATTGTGAGTACTTTCATATCTGGGTGTGTGTGCAAGAGAGAAAGTGAGAATTTCTAATAAAATCTGGGCTTACACAGCGAGACTGTGGGGAATGGTCCTGCCGGCTCAGGTGCCCAACCTGGTGGCCTGGCCCAGCCAGGCCAGGCCAAGGACTTTTAGCCATGCTTGATGTCTTAAGCTTGAAGCAGCACGAGGAGAACCACTGAACCAGTGCTCACTTTGCTTCCTCGGTTTCTTTTGCTCCTGCAGTTATTTTGCCTGTCCTCTTGTCTTCTTTCGTCTTTCCTGTTTGCTCTTTTCTCTTTACTTCGTTTGTGTTTGGTTTAAATGATGATAGAGTTCCTCTCTCTCTCTCTCTCTCTCTCTCTCTCTCTCTCTCTCTCTCTCTCTCTCTCTCTCNTTTTTTTTTTTTTTTTTTTTTTTTTTTCTTGAAGACAATTTCAGTGAAAAAAAAAAGAAGCTGAGCCTTGACAGTCTGGGTTGCCCAGGGAGGGCTGTTTGCAAATTACCCAGGCAGTAACAGTCTGCAGAGAAGGCAATCGGCAAAGGCGGACTGCCAATAAACTGGATGCGTAGCAGGGATGACACAGCCCCGAGGATGACCCACAGGGCTAGCAAACCATGCAGACCACTCAGTCAGCGGTTCGTCGAGCCTGCTGTGGACTGCAAAGGGGAACGATATCTCTCTTGCAATAACCCTTGCGATATGTCTCATAGAATGTCTGAGGGCCTACTTGGCCGCCCTCAGCCCAGGCCAAACGGGGGGAAAAAGACCCCACACGCAAATTCAGGGTCTGGACGTGAGACAGTTAACTTTTGTCAACTGTCGTGACACCAACAGTCAAAGTCCAAAGGTACCCAGCCCAGGCCGCCGGTCAAGCACACATACCTGTTTGTATGCAGGTACCCAGACAGCATCAGGTCCAAGGGGAAGTCTGCAACTGTACACAATCGGGGCCCTCGGCTGTGAGGCAATCTGGACGACTGAGGGAACGGGACTCGAGGCCAGACAGCCTCGTCAAATGCTACTTGAAGCCTGGCCTCGAGGTGGTCAGCATTCAGTCTTGCGATGCTGCCTTGACGCTGGCTCGACTTTGACTAGACGCTGGCATTTATGCTGGCGCGACGCTGGCTAGAGGCTGGCTGTGCAGAGGCGTTGCGGACTACGGCACGAGGTGGAGGCAGCATGCTGGCGCTTCTTGTTGTGTGTGCATGCTGATGTGGCGCTGCCTCTGGTCTACATTGTATGATGATGTGGCGCTGCCTCTGGTCTACATTGGATGATGTGGCGCTGCCTCTGGTCTACATTGCATGATGATGTGGCGCTGCCTCTGGTCTACATTGCATGATGATGTGGCGCTGCCTCTGGTCTACATTGCATGATGATGTAGTGCTGCCTCTGGTCTACATTGCGTGATGATGTGGAGCATGCCACCTGTCTCGACTGCTGATGTGGCATTGTCCACGCTGTCTCCATGAGGTGACTGGTTGTGAGGAGGAGGAAGATCGGGATCTGTGGATGATTGGAATCGGGCACTCACCTGAGGTTGACGTCGTCACTGTAATCTGCTGTGTCTGCATGGTCTTCAAGAGATAAGAGTGCCACGTGGCACTATTGTGCGATCAGGATTATTATACTTGTTATCATATACTGGTTGTTGACGTGGGAAGGTAAGAAGCCCGGAGAAGGAGTGGGCTTTGACGGGATTACTCTTGTGTGATCTTTGATCATCTCTTCCACCTTCTCCTCTGTCTGGTCTCCCTCCACTCTCTTCGTCTAATGGTAATGAGATACTATTTCAGATATCATTTCACGATAATTGGAGACTATGCTGCAGATACTGAGACTACTGGTGTTTGACGACTGATGAGTATCTGCCACTGGGTTCATTACAATTTGGTATCGGAGCATCTCCTTCATCGCAGTCTGCTGTCAGGTGCTGACGTGGCTCCCAGGTAAGTGGGAGGTGCCACATGTGCAAAACGAAACGCGTTTATCAACGCGCGCAGTAGTACCGCAAGTCTAGACATTGTAGTATTGCACGTGCGAGCAGCTGTCCCTTGAAGATGATGACGTAGCTGCCTTGAAGACTTCAAGATACCGGCAAGAGCTTCGTTGGCAACAGGCTGACGTGGCTGGTACAGAGAGAGATGGGTACTGCTGATGTGGCGCATTGCTTATGTGGCATGCTTTTGTGGCTGGGCATGGTATGACGTGGCATGTACCTGTGTTGCGATTGCAGGCTGTTGAAACGCTGCATCTGACGTGGCATACCAGTGTGGTGTGAGTTGCAGACCTGCACTGCTGACGTGGCATCCCTTCTTGTAGACCTCCGGTCCTTGACGCTGACGTGGCAGAATTGCTGCGTTGGCATGCCAGGGGTGACACGTGGCATGAATACAGGCTGCTGAGGTTGAAGTGTTGAGTGTGCACTTGTGTGCTGGCAGACAGTATGGCTTCACATTTTGCTGTGGTGTCGCGTGCTGGCCTTGATTGGTTGCATTGTTTCTGCAGATGGTACGGCTGTAGGAAAGGAGAGCTAACCATTGAATGTGCTCTTGTGTTGGCTGATTCACTTACCTGTGGTTGTTCTGTGGATGCTGTGTGTACTCACGAGTGTGCTGTTGTCTTGATCACACTGGCCATGGCTGCGGTACCTGTAAACTGTAGAACGTCATCACACATGAATTAGACAGCAAAGTTAGATTAGAAATTAATTGAAATCTGTTTCTTCGTCTGTTTTGATTACTTCTTGCTGTAGAAGTTGCGTGTGCCGTGGAATTTATTTTTGTCGTTAATTTTATTTATTGTGCGTATTCACACGCTGAAGAAAATGTCTTATCTCTGTTGAGGTGTCCTCCCTGAGAGAGAGAGAGAGAGAGAGAGAGAGAGAGAGAGAGAGAGAGAGAGAGAGAGAGAGANAGAGAGAGAGAGAGAGAGAGAGAGAGAGAGAGAGAGAGAGAGAGAGAGAGAGAGAGAGAGAGAGAGAGAGAGAGAGAGAGATGCAGCAGCAATCTCTTGTCATGTCCATTTCTTCTCATTATTCTGTCGCCTTTGCTTCCCACAGAGATGGGCATCCACATACCCTTCGCTTCTGTATACTTCACAGCAGTCTTTCGTTGAGGGTAGGGTGGGTGATAGATTGGTTTCGTTGCCTGCGTGCTACTTGACTGGTCTAGAATTAACATCACAACGGCATTGTTGAAGAAGTTCGCTGTGCTGCAGTCACAATGAGTTCTGGTTGCATGTCGCGGCATCAGCGTTCTTTTTTCTTTTTTTCCTTCTTTGATGTTCACAAATTTAATGGATGTTTGAACTTTGAAAGGAAATTGCAATCCTTCTTTGCTGTACTGTTCCTTTCTTTTGCGAAAACGAAAAACAAAACAAAACGATTAGATTGTTTGGCGGATGATCGGACTGTTCTGGTTGCATGTTAGCATCAATCTTTTTCTTTTTCTTTTTCTTTTTCTTTTTCTTTTTCTTCGTCTTTTCTTTTCCCCACTTTGGGTCGGCATCAACCTCACGAATGTAGAGGTGTGTGAGCTCGAATTCTCTGTTGTGGGCTGTCGCACAGTTATATGATGATTCTACCAAACTCGGTGAAGATATTATGCTGCGGTATTCCAAGGGTTTAATCAATGGAGCTGATCATGTGTTCTGGTAGGTTCTCTATCATCTCGCTAACCTACTCTTAACCACATGCATGCTTGAGTTCATGTGGTGGTCCACACTGGGCTGTCTATCGGTTGAGCGATTTGCATGTTTTGAAGAGAGTCCAGACTCCAGGGTATCAACGTTGAATGTTTTTTTTTTTTTTTTTTTAAATAACAAAAAACAGAATCTTATTGTTCAGGCTGTGTATCCGGTCTGGGGAGCATCAGTCCGGTTCCTTTCCACCGGCAACGACGGCAAGTGAAAATAATGTACAGAGTTTTACTCCCACCACGTGGCCTCCCCATTATGGCTGGGAGGCCCGAGTAGATCTCATTGATTTGCTCCCCTTTTTGGGAGGATATATATACACCACTCCCTCACCCCTGCCTAAGCTTGCTTCAGTCGAGTAGCTTCTATACGCCATCCTATGCATTATGGCTGAGGCCCGAGTAGATGGCTTTGATTGCTCGCCTTTTCGGGAGTATATATATATACCAACCCCTCACCCCTGCCTAAGCTCTGTTTCACGGTTGGAAAGGTGATAATAGTATCATAATACTTGGTTTATATGTGTCATTTCTTAGCAGGAGGACAGCGTCTGAAATGTGTCATTGACATTACGTCTTGCTAGTCGTGGTTATTATATTGTACGACAAGCTAATCGTAAACCGAGCAAGGTCGAAGGTTTTCCATCACCTACATAAACCTTTGATTCTCAGTCCAGCTGACTTGATTCCTAATGCGGGCGAATATCAACATGTGCTAC